ATGTAGCCATGTTACTAATAGTCACGTCTACCATCATCACTCGATTCGAAGGCTGAGGAGAGGAAATATGTTTCCAATGTCCTAAAGGCAAATGGCTATACAAAAACTTTTCTCCGTAACTGCCAAAAACCAGTTACAAATAGTAACGCTCTTGATGAAAGGGAACCAGCGACTGGTTATGCTGTTATTCCTTACATACAACAACCCATCCTTAAAGTTGCTCAAAAACTTTTAAGACTTTGATATTTTCGTAAGGATCTTGTCACGAACCGGAACGAACAACGAACCGACGCCATTTATTCTATTCCTTGCAATGACTGTGACAACGAATACATCGGACAGACCAAACTCCTGTTCGTGACCATAGACATCATAGATGTGTTTATAAGCTATAACGAACCTGCGCTTTCAGGATAAATGAACGTGCCTGTCTTTGATGTAGCCATGTTACTAATAGTCACGTCTTTTTTGTTCGAAAAAAATGAGCAATTAAGTAAATCTACTCCACCAGTTCCATACGCACAGTACACGTGTCCAGCCTGTTGAATGCCAAAATTGTCACGGAAGATACATCTTCGGAATGTTGTAAAAAAAAGTGAGTATCGTGTCGTAAATATTATCAACAAAAGTGCAGTTTTCAATGAGGATATCAATCGGAAATGAGCAGTTTTTCGGTTGTGAAGATTCTATATGCAGGCCGATTTTAAACGACATTAGCGTGACGTTCACCATCTTGATGCAGTATTTGGGACTTATCAACAGGGATCTCTTTTTTTATATATTGCTGACTATCAAGCTGTCTGAAATCATTGCCATGCCTGCATTACCATTCCCGGCTAGTATTTGGACAAAGATTCCTTGTCTTGCTTCTATAGCAGTGTCCTCAAAAATGCATCTCGAAATTGTCCCATTGGTTTTACCCTGTGTGGTAATCACGCGCAGAGCACCAGCCACAGTGATTTTCATCTTCCTTTTAAACGTGGACCGTTCTATGACGACATTTCCATTTTTAAGAAAAACTTCAACAGCCTCACATTTGTGTTCTGCTCGATGATTACATTTCTAAGGCCAAAGAATAAATTGTGTGGACCTGACCGATTATATCCGACAAATATGGTGCATCCGTTATTTGCTCTGCAGTAAGAAAAAGTAACGTTAGTGTGCTCAATTTTCAAGAATCCTTTGGGACTGTTCGCAAAAAGCGATCCTCCAATGTCTGCTTTATTTTTACGAAAGTGGGAGTTCGTAATTCTCAAAGATGCGTTTATATAAGTCATGAGCGATAGGCTTCAACCTCTGTGCCTTGTTACCTCCAGGTTACTAAGACGGGAATCTTGAATGTCTATATTAGCTCTGGAAGACTCAACTTTGATGCAACGCACATTCTTGTTGTAATAGCAATTTAACCTAATGAACTTTGCTCTTGTTTCCCTCGAATGAGAAGAAAGCAAGCTGCGCTCAGGCAAAGAAACTTCTGGTTTTAGATTCAGAAAATAGTCTTTAAGATTGAAGTGGTTGTGATGTAGTTTTATATCTCTGTAAATCTCGTTCGTAACCGCAGTTGGAACGTTGACACTGATAAAAGGACCTTTATTGCTAATGAACTGGGTTCTACAGCAAGAGATAGAATTGTAAACTGGATCGAGCAACTTCTTTGCGGCGGACAATATCTTCATGGCTCCTCTTTATCCTTCTGACCATGAAATCCATTTTTTTCGAATTTTGTGTCAGTGATATTAACTTCAAGGAAGCGATTTTGTTCTCTACAATCGTCGAACAACAAAAATTCGAAGCATTGAGAATTATAGCGAAATGATGAGTCGCCGTGAACATCTAACTGAACAGATGATATGTTCTGTGTTTCAATAATAAAAGTTCGTTCAGTATAGCGGAAAGAACAATTATGGATCACGATGCGTTTGCAATCCTTACATGTAAATGGAGTCTGCCGAAAATGGATTCCTGAGAGTTCGAACCTCGAGTTTTGTTGCTCATTAACTGTCCACTGGAAATGAAATCCTCTGACGCATAAAACGTGTGGAGGGAAGTAGATTCCCTTAATGGTCAAGCCCTTGGTAACATGAATACCATGATGACAAGCCACTGAAGAATTGGGGTTGAAACAGTCATAGGGATGTTCTTGGGTTCCTCGCCCGTCTTGATAGATGAATCCACCAAAACTAACTCTTTTAACCGCTTGAATAATGGACTTGCATGGCTGATTTTTACTACCACAACTCTCGGAGTCAATCCCGTTACGAGATACATAAACATTCGGCGGGCCTACCCCTAAATCAGAAGAATTGGAAGAACAAAGTCATCAACTACTAGCTGCTGTCAAATTAGTTGCACTTTGTATAATAAACCTCTTAAGGAGGCTCCATAGGGTGTTTTGACCGCGGGAGATCTGGTTGCGAACATAGCGGGAGCTTTAAAAGCAACAACATGAAAAACAAACATGGCGCCTCGATACAATGAAACGATTGTTATTTGGAAAGGTGTGTTCAAACAGTTTAAAACCATACAGTTTTTATGTGATGGAGTCTAGGGTCTCCAGTGATAGCACCTGTAAAATCAATAGGGTTTTTTTAGGGTAGAAAAAGAAGCAAACCGAAAAGAAAACACGGTGGGAAAGATTGCCAAAAGACAATACATTCCAATTTTAAGTATGCGCAGATATAGATCTTGGCGAAGTTCTATTCCATTACGTAATTTTTTGCGACAAAGAAAATAGGGATCCATCGAATAATATTTATTGCGTTTCCCTCGATGGAATTTCCTAAGATTTGCTGGACCGTTAAATATATTTGTGCCCTTCCTAGTGCCTGTTGATTAAAAAAAAAATCATAAGACCGAATTTGATAGAAGAAGAAAACACGAAATTGCAAATAGCGGGGAAACAACATTGGAAACTCCTGATTTTTTCGGCTTTTAAATGATCGGCAGGAAACATTTCACAAATTGTGAAACTTTTGAGAGATTTCACTAAAGGAAATTGAAAAAAAATCAAAGGGAAAGTGTAACAGCCGTCAATTCGATGTCAATTCCACGTTTTATTCGATCCGATCAACTACGCTCAGCACACCGTTCGAATACAATACCGTACAAGAAATCCTTACAAACAAGCAATTGTCTCTATCCGTAACCTTGAAAACTGCTGAAATATCCGTAATGCCTCCGTAATGTTCTATTCCTTCGATGCGAGACTAGTTAAACGATCCTTATCCGAGAAATAAAGGCGAAAATAACAAGCGATAAAAGCACGTATATGCCGAGGTTTGACCTAGTGTCGAATGACAACACCTCGGCGCAGACTGGGCCTAGTGCACAGGACACCTAGCATTTACATGGCTCCCCTAAAATGCTCGTCATTTTAACCAAACAAATCTTACTCTAACTCGTTTAGAATACTAGAATTGCTAAGCGTTCTAGATATCCTGTTTCTGTACCATTACAGTTCCTCAGGCTCCTCGTCGGGGATTCCCGGTCTATCCTTAGGTGACTCTAGCAACAGCACAAGTTTATTGACTGGTCGATCCAATACTGATCCAGTTCCGGTTTGAACAGTCACCGATCTGACTTGGTCTTCATCATCACGACGTGTGGTAAGCACTTTAGCCATAAGCCACTTATTCCTACAAGAATTGTTGTCCTTTAATAGAACAATGTCGCCTTCCGTGAAGTTTCTTCTCTTGTGTGTCCACTTTTGTCTCAACTGTAAGATCTGAAGATATTCTTTACTCCATCTATTCCAGAATTCGTTAGCAATATGCTGTACGCGCCTCCAGCGACGTTTGCAGTAAGTATCTTCTCGTTGAAACTTTCCTGGAGGGGGGAGAATGAGCTTGGTTTTACCAGTGAGAAGGGTACTTGGCGATAGTGGCAACGGTGAGAGCGGATCACTTAAGGTCTCGGTAGTCAGAGGACGACTGTTGACAACAGCTTCAGCTTCACATAACAAAGTTCGCAACGATTCGTCGTTTAAGCTGTGACCATGCTGTTTCATAAGTGCTGCCATGATGTTCCGCACGGACCGAATTTGTCGTTCCCAAACGCCTCCGAAATTACTTGCAGTAGCAGGATTTCTGATCCAATCAATGTTCTCCTTAAGCAACTCTGCCTTGATTTTCTCATCATCCATTTCTTGAAGTGCTGCCTTTAACTCGTTTTCGGCCCCAACAAAATTAGTCCCTTGGTCACTGCGAAGTTCTCTTATGGGTCCTCTACGACAAGTAAAGCGCCGTAATGCTTGTAAGAATGAATCTGTTTCCATGGAGTGGGCTACTTCGATATGTACCGCACGACTGGCCAAGCAAGTAAATAGGGCTCCGTACCTTTTAATTTCTTTCCTGCCTTCTTTGACATACCACGGACGAAAGTAGTCCACTGCACAGTATGAAAACTGTGGCGCGGGTTCAACAAGGGAACTTGGGAGGTTGGCCATTTTCTGTTCTCCAAAGGTACCACGGAGATGTCGACACGTGACGCACTTTGATATGAAGTGTCTGACCGCAGCATTTCTATTGATAATCCAGTAACCACTCGAACGAAGTTCGTTTAAGGTGAGACCTCTTCCGCTGTGGTGAGTTTTCTCATGGGCGTGACGGAGGACCAGCTCTGTAATATGACCAGCCTTCGGTAAGATGACAGGGTTCTTAAGACTGTCTGAGAGGTTAGCCTTCCTTATCCGTCCTCCGACTCTCAACATTCCGCTGGCATCCAGGTATGGGTCGAGGGCGTTAAGGCTGCTACTTTTCTTCAAAACTGCTTTCCTTTCCTTATCATGATGACGATCTTTAGGCACACTTCCGGTCTGGGTTTGGAAATCTCTCAGAATCTTGATTTCTTTATCGAAGTAATTCGCTTGCACCAGCTTGAGAATTTCTGTTTCTGCTTGTTCAAGGTCTCTGACCATAAAGGAAGTAGCCGGGCAACCTTCACATTCACGGCTTCGTCCATTAACTTGAGGACCGTCAACAGTTACAGGTCTCTTGTCTGTTTTACTGGCTCTCATCTTGAGACGTCGTTTGTATTCCATACAAAGCGCAACTGCAGCCCTTTAGGACTTGCCACTTGGAGAATCCTTTGAATCTGCTTAACATGTTTTCATGTTCTTCAATCACTGTCGCGTTAGTAACCCCCTTAACGTCAGGAGAATTGTGGTCGACCTCTTTTTCGTATGAGTCTTGTTGAGGCCAGTGATCTTCCGTCTGCCACAAGAAGTCTGGGCCCTTAATCCACTGTGACCTTTGCATAAACTCCTTAGCGTTCATCCCCCTCGATGCTTCATCTGCTGGGCTGGATCCAGACTCCACGTAGCGCCACTGGTCTGGTGAAGTGTGGTCACGGATGAATTGCACTCTATTTGCAACATACACTTGGAATCTTCGAGATTCATTGTTGATGAACCCGAGGACAACCTTACTATCGGTCCAGTAGAAGTCTTGGAGTCCGCCATAGTCTAACTCTTCCTTTAGCATGCTTGCAACCCTTACTGAAACGGTAGCGGCAGTTAGTTCAAGTCTTGGAATAGTGACTGTCTTCAACGGTGCAACACGAGCTTTCCCCATAACAAGAGAACAATGAATTCTTCCGTTTTCATCAACCAGTCTGAGATAAGAACATTGTCCGTACCCGACTTGAGACGCATCTGACATATTATGTAGCTGAGCAGTGGCAATGCTTCCAAAATCAGGAGGCTGAAAGTTTCTTGGGATGTTCAGCTGCTCTAATAGCGGTAACTGACTTCTCCATCTTCCCCATTTGGCAAGAACTTCTCCCTCGATTGACTCGTCCCAGTCTTTTCCGTGACAGATCTCTTGAAGTATCTGCTTTCCAACAAGGACGACGGGCGCAATCAGCCCTAGAGGATCAAAGATCGAGCTTATAGTTGCCAGTATACCCCTACGGGTGCACGGCTTGTCCTTCAACTCTATTCTGAATTTGAATGCGTCCGATTCAATGCACCATTCTACACCCAAAGCTCTCTCTATTGGTAACTTGTCACTACCTAGGTCTAGGCCCTTGATCTCCTTAGCTCTGTCTTCAGCAGGTACTGACATCATCACCTTTCTACTGTTGCTGACAAATTTCGTTAGTTTGAACCCTCCCTTTGCACACATCTCTTTAACAGCTTGTACTAGTTCTACAGCGTCCTTCTCTGTCGGTACCGAACTCAGAGCATCATCGACGTAAAAGTTCTTCCTTAATGTTTCGGCAGCCTTTGCACCAAACTCTCTTTCACCGTCTTCGGCTGTACGTTTCAAGGCGAAGTTAGAACACCCTGGAGATGAACCAGCTCCAAAGAGGTGCACTGTCATGCAGTACTCTTGAGGCTCTTGAGTTAAATCTCCATTTGGCCACCATAAGAAGCGAATGAAGTTCTGATCTTCCCTTGGAACCTTGACTTGAAAAAACATTTTCTCTATGTCAGCCATGAAGGCTACCTTCTCCTCTCTGAATCTTGTGAGCACCCCAGTGAGCTTGTTTGTTAGATCGGGCCCTTGCAATAGGTGGCCATTCAGCGATTCACCCTGGTAACGAGCTGAACAGTCAAATACTACGCGTATGCTGCCTGGTTTTTTGGGGTGGTAAACCCCGTGGTGAGGTAAGTACCAGGCCTTTTCTTCTTGATGGGGTAGCTCTTCAACCTTGACCTTTCGAGCATATCCCTTCTCTATGATTTCAGTCATGAATCTGACGTAGTCAGCACGATACCTTGCGTCGCCTTGGAGTCTCTTCTTAAGGCCGTGCAGGCGTTGCTCTGCTTGAGGACGGTTATTGGGTAGCTGTACATTCTTTTCTCTAAAGGGCAGAGGCATCTCGTAATGCATGTCATCTCTATGATGGATTCCATCTTCTACGATCTTCAGGAACTGACGGTCTTCTCTTGATAATGCGACTCCGTGCTCCCTTTCAGCAAAGTCCACCTCAAACATTCGGGAAACCACTTGAGGGGTTAGCCGCTCCTTAATCTCTGTCTTAGCAATGATGTACCCATTCACGTTATCCTCTGTGTTGCTCTTAAGAATCTGAATACGGTTACAATGTACTTGTTTACTGCTCTTTTGGTTAACAGGACCGTTTACGTGCCATCCTAGTAGTGATCTTACTGCATAGGGTTCATTCTCATTCCCGCAAACAATGTCTCTTGGTCGCACTGCACTAGGGCAATTTAGTCCGATCAGGAGTCCTATTTCTACGTCTTCCATGTAAGGAGGTACGTGTTTCCTAACCATCTGCAAATGTGACCATCCTTGCAGCTCTTCGGGACGAGGAATCTCATCACGATCTGCTGGAATCCGTTGTCTGACGTAGGTTCTCGGTAGGGGTACGATAACGTCGTTTTCTTGAAAGTGGGAAGCCATTAGCCCATCTACCGCTTTAGTATCGACTTCTTGGGTACCATGCATAGTAGTGAGCAAAAGTTTGGTTTCACTTCCTTTAACACCAAGCCTTCTTAACGAGTCTTCCTTAATGAATGTTCCACCACTGGCATTATCAAGGAGGGCGTAAACACATATCTTATTGTTTGGATTGTCCTTGTGGTACAACCATACTGGGATAATACCCATAGCAACTGGTACATCACCGGCATCTGTCACATTGCAAATTGCAGTACACACGTTAACGACTCGCTCTTCCGTTTTCCTTTTACTGGCTTCCGATTTCTCATGTTGGCCGTTTCCACTTTCCATTTTCGCCTCTTCTGATTTCCAACTGTAATCATGGAGTGACGTTGGGTGTTTCTTATTGCAGATCTGACAGGTTCTTTTACTTTTGCAAAGCTTAGCAATGTGTTCACAACTATAGCAACCGAAGCATAAGCCTTTCTGTTTGATAAAGTTTCTCCGCTCCACTAGCGGTTTTTTAAGAAACTCAGCACATTCGTCCAGATGATGCGCCTTAGAGCACAATGTACAGCTGATGGGGTGAGAATTTCCTCCACCTGCATTCTTTCCTGCCAGGCCTGTTGCAAAGTTGGTACCCCTTCCTCTCTTGGGTTTGCGTTCGTTCTGTTTGTGGTACTTGTCAACTGCGTTCATCGGTTTACTTATGCCTTCCTCGGAATAGATTGGGTCTGTCGCTAAATCGGCTTGCTCTGATACAAATTGGCAAAAGTCATTAAAGCTAGCTGTCTGTCCCTTGACACTCCTAATCCTGCTAACTCTTTCAGTCCACTTACTACGTAGATATCGCGGCAGCCTTTCCCATAACTGGCGCATAACATTGGCCGTGTTCAAGTCGTTCATGTATTGCATGCCTGTCATGGCGTTCCTTGCTTGCTCAAGGACAATAGAAAATTCTTGTAACCCTGTTCCGTCGTTAGGCTTAACAGCGGGCCAGCTCGACAGCTTGGCGATGTATGCACTTGCAATCTTGTATGGGTCACCAAAATGTTTCTTTAAAAGCCGTCTAGCCTCCTTGTACGAATCTTCGCCTTTCGTTTGTAAACAACCCTTTATCAGTTCCTTGGCCTTTCCACTAGTGTATTGATCCAAGTAGTACAAGCGCTCATTAGAATCATCTACCTTAGATTCTATGAGAGTTTCAAAGGCTGTTATGAATGCTGGGTATGACATAACATCTCCCGAAAACGTAGGTGGCTTGTGACTAGGTAGGAGACTCCTAGCCTGTTGGGTAACAATCATTTCTGAAAGTTCAGCCTGCTTCCTTTGAATGTCAAGATAGTTTTGATCTAACCCTGTACCGTCCACAGAGCTTGAATCCTTTCCGAAACTGCACGTACATTCCCTTTTAACATGTGGTGGCTTATAGTCAGTGAGGGTTTCGTACTTGTCCTTATACTCTTCTTCCTTAATGGGAACACTCTTTGGAACAAAGGGTCGGGCAGTTGGGTTCATACAAGCAGCACTGGCTAAAGCTGGGGTGGTTACAGGAGTGGTCGTTGAACCAACAATAGCTGAACTTTGGAACTTCACAGAAGGCACCCTTAGTGTAGCCTGATCGTTAGATTGTACCCCGGGTGAGATGGTAGTAGAAGTGAGTTTAACCTCAACATCTTCCAAGTTTTCATTCATTCCGTCAATATTTTGTTCCTTCTCGAATTTCTCATAAGTTTTTTCTTCTGCCTTTGCCTCTGCGATTTGCTGCCTAAGTTCAAGCTCTTCAGTAGCCATTTTTAATGCTTGTTTCTCCTTTAGAAATGATGCCTTAACCTCTAACGCTGCGGCTTTAGCTTTCGCTTCAATTAACTTTAACCTAGCAGATGTTGCCGAGGGAAGGGAGTGCCTTGAGCGACGAGATGACTTAGATTTCACTGAGTGTGTATCACGTAAACCGCCACGTAGCTTATCTGCATCATCCAAAAAGCCAATAATCCTTTGCTTTAGCTGGAGCACATCCTTATCGCGAGTGCCAAACCATTCAAGAGCTAATTTAATTTCATCATCATCATCTAAGGCCTTGAGATATGCGTCATGTGCTTCTTGCACTTTAACAAATAGCTGATCTAAATGAACAACTTCCGTACGAACTTGTTTTTCGTTCTCAAAATCCGTTAACAAAGGTGAGACTAAGTTAATCTGCTTAGTTAAATTAGCAAGTGCAGTTTTCCGTTTTTCCTTCAACTTTTGAATCTCAAATTGCCTACCCCTTTCTGTAGGAATCCGTTTTCGCACATCCATGTGAGTTTCTTGAGCCAATAAACCGGTCAGCGGCGATATCGCACGAGGTGACGAGCAGATTGTATCGAGATCCATATCGACTTCGCGCCAAGTGCAAAGCTTCTCTTCATCAGGGAGCTCCGTTTTCCCTTGTAAATCTTCTTCTTTGTCTCCTTCCATGTGATTCGACACTAGGTCAAACTGTAACAGCCGTCAATTCGATGTCAATTCCACGTTTTATTCGATCCGATCAACTACGCTCAGCACACCGTTCGAATACAATACCGTACAAGAAATCCTTACAAACAAGCAATTGTCTCTATCCGTAACCTTGAAAACTGCTGAAATATCCGTAATGCTTCCGTAATGTTCTATTCCTTCGATGCGAGACTAGTTAAACGATCCTTATCCGAGAAATAAAGGCGAAAATAACAAGCGATAAAAGCACGTATATGCCGAGGTTTGACCTAGTGTCGAATGACAACACCTCGGCGCAGACTGGGCCTAGTGCACAGGACACCTAGCATTTACAGAAAGCCAAATTGTCACTGGCGAGCGCCTCCCTTCTTGGAGCCTTAGCTTAATAACGAAAATCATTTTGTTAATATTCACTACAGCAAATGATAATCCGCACCTTTCTTATCACCTTTTGATGACTTTTAGTGGCCTTGAAAAACCAAAAGATCAAAATTTTCTAGAAAAACATGACTCTGGCGCGCGCGCCAAAATCGAGCAAAAACCTCATGGAGTCTCCTAAAGCGAGATACTCCTGCATCAGAAAACTGATTACTTTTCCCAGAGAGAGGGGCTTTACCGTTTTGTTTACGTTGTAAGCAATTTAAAGCGTTTTCCTACAACAATTGGTAACCAATATCATATACTGTTTGCTAACCTGCAAACAGTATATGATATTAGGCCCCGGTAGTTCGAAGGGTGAATAACGCCATCTTCTGGACAACTATCTATCCGGTGGACCGCCCTCTACGTTTTTGTTAACACTTATCCGCTGCCGGGATAGCGATTTATCCGTTAGATAGCGTTATGTACCAGAGGTACCCAGCTTTGCATAAGAATCGATGTGCATGATACCTTATCACGTTATTTTTCTTCATTTCACTTCATTGATTTCGGAAGTCAACCTGCTGTCTAAAAACACCAAAGCGTAAAATAGATTCTACAGAGTTTTATGTTACCTGAACTTGTGTTTGAGAAAGCCAAAATTATTAGAGCCGTTATGACAGTTTCTTGGCAGGCCATAACAAATCTTTGCGAAGGCAAAAGACTCAAGCATGCATTCCTCCTCCTTCCCTCAGCATTTTTGTAATTTAGAGTGGATCGATCAAATGGTTGGCAAAAAACTGACAGATAGTCGGAAAGCGAAATTCAATCAAACTAAATCTGCAAACAGACTAATTGTCTGACGCATATAGTTTCCGATAACAATTCTCAACAATCCTTCGCTGGGTCATCGATGGGTCTCAATGAGGTTGATAAGGTGAAAATCTTAACTACTCTAACCAAGGGCTGGCCTTGGCAGTGATTATTCAATCTGGACTACAAACCAGCGCGAGCCCTCCTGAAAGACTCTTTAACCGTTAATTATGAAAATTACAATTTCCTCGATTGTGATTGATTTGAAAAACTCCTTTTTTCCACTAATTCGCTTGCCAAGTTGTTATCAGACAGTTTACTATCGGATAGTTCAATAAGCCAATCACGTTCAAAGTTGTAGTTTAAATCAACTAAACATGCAAATTTTCTCTTTCTTTCATAACTTAGCAATTCTTCTTTTCTCGGAAATTGTAATTTTTATAATTAATTGGTAATGAGACTTCGTGTCGTCCAATTCAGTCTGTAATCATTCTCATGATGAACAAATCGGACTCCCGCTACGCAACGTCCGATTTGGTCATAACTCGTTTGATTACAAACCGAATTAGACCCCCTTACTCCTATTACCATTCATTAAATCGTGACTTTTTACCCACAATTCTATTTCTCGTCTTAATTTTATACCCCCATCCTATCTACAAAAAAGCCCTCTCCATATTGGTACCAAAACATTCTTTATGTGCGCTCAGACCAGTAGATATTTTTACGCCATGAGGCGTTTTGGTTTTCGTTGTTAATGGTCACGAAATACAACGTGTAAACGGCAGGCTCCTCGAAACTATTGCAAATTCTTTTGGACATTGAATATTTAACACCGTATAAAATATAACCCAAGTTCGCACAATGGTAATACAGAACTCTCGATATGCTCATACATGGCTGTTTACGTGAATCTCCAGACGCAAACGCTACTTGCAGATCGACTGAACACTTCTAGCGAAGTCACTTGACCTGATTACCAACAACTTCAAATTTCTTACCATCATTCTAAATATAGCGGGAAAAAAAAGGTAGAACAGAATGTTATGTCAACTTCGAAAAATGTAAATTTGTTTCGCTTTCCAACCAACTGGTTAGATTTTGTATGGCTGTCAATTTTAACAATAGAAAGATTTTTTTTTTTTTCATTTTCTTTAATTATCAAGTACATAGTCGAAACCTTATTTAGCTCCCATGAGTAAGTCTGTTATTAAATCAGTCGAAAGTCCGGTCTTAAGTCCAGTCCAGAGCTCCATAACGTAGTGCATTAAGGATTAAGTAAAATGGCGTTAAATTTTAATCAAGACAGACATCATCTTAATGCAGTGGAGCTGATGAGCCACGAGTAGGCCGTCATTATTATTGCTTCAGTAGGACCGTTTCTTCACTCACGAATACGTTTGAGGCCATGAGCAAGGCCTGCGAGCCGGTGAGAAGTCTGCTAGCGGCGTACACTCATGATGAGCCAGCTCCCTCGCAGCTTTCTCCTGGCTCGGTTTGCTTAACGCCTTAACAACCGAACATCAGTATGCATATTCTCCATACTGTTCTCTATACATTTCCTAAGGTGCTGGCAAGGAAAATTAGCTTAACGATCCAGATCTAGAGCTTCTACAGCTAAAGATTGTTCTCATGACCTTTGTGTGTGATTCAGGGTGATATTGTGAGGAGAAATTAGATGCTAGTCCCTCTTAGGGGTTAAACTGTTAATACCTTTTCTTTACTCGCGGGCGAGAGAACGCTCGTGCCACAAAGCTAATGAAGGTATAGATGACGTCATAGGTTTTTTTCTTTTCGCTATTGCCTGAAATTACATTGGAAGGCTCACTCGTGTCAAAAATTAACTACTAGTGCAATGATTTCCCAAACTCTATCATCATAACACGATTTTAATGAATTTTTTAGGAAAGTTTCCCGTGTTTTCGTTAGTTGATGGGTTTGCTCATAGGAACATTAAAAAAAAAAAATACTCAAACAAATTGTTACAAAACAATTCATAAGTACATCATTAACACATCATAAAGTGCCCGCCGCTAAGACCACTAATTCTTCATCAGCAAACACAAGGGAACCGTTCAATACCTTAGACCGGCGCGTTATTTAACGAAGCACGGCGTATACTACAGACATCTCTGGTATGATCTGGTATGAGGAACAGCAAGTCGCTACTAATATAAAGTGTTCTCTGGTGTTATGTCCATTCAGAAGAGCTCGATGAGAACGGAAATAGAATAATTAGAATAACATGTGTAATATTATTTGGGTCACCGACGTAGAATGAAAGCTTGCAGTTCGCAGCAATATCGTACGAGAAATGATATCTCAATTCCATGTATCATTTAGCACTACGCTGTGGCCACATGGTTGGAGCCAAGTACGGTGTTGAATGGATTAAGTGGTCGGCAGTCAAAAATGTTGGCCACATTTTCATAGATGTTCTTTTGAACTTCTTGAGGGTATCAAAGTTAAGTGATGTCGAGGGATTCCTGAAACTATGTTTATTTCTTGAGTTTACGAAATGTGCGACCTTGGATATCCTTAATTTATTTAGTTCGCTTGAGATATATATAACGCGAGTTAAGGCCACAAACATGATATTCAATGGCTCTGCCCGAGTTATGTAACAAGAAGTTCAAGTTACTTCACGAGATAAACTATTTTTACCTAGTTTCGCGATGTTTCTAACTCAATAATATTTTTTTTTTGGCTAAAGAATTCAAGTGGCTTATCACCTCCAAGCATGGCGAGAGAACAAGCGACTCCTCCTTTTTTGTTCACTTAATGTCTGTCACAAAATATTTTTGTCTGGTTCAAAAATTTCTGACTTCCCCTAGAAACTAATTTGGAACGAAAGGAAAATAGCCAAATAGTTTCGGTACATTTTTTCACGCGTTTGGCTACAATACAAACGATCTTTTGAATATTTCTATTTTAGATTGAAGAAAACCTATTTTTGTGTACAATACTGTGATCGGTCGGCTGATACGTTGATAATCGTTTCATGTCAGCAATGGACTTAAGTAAAATACCGGAAATTGTTGCTTTGAACATTGAAAATTTAACGTTCACATGGATTGAGGCAGAAGACTTCTTGTCCCCGTTTTTTTTTTTTTTTTTTTTTTTTTTTTTAACAACGGAAGAAC